GAATACCCTCCTGAAAAGACCTATCGAGACGTGCCTTCGCATGCTCCTCTGCCAAGCATGAGAATCCGTACACTTGATATTTTTTTTTTTTTGATAACGGAGGATCCCTAACTGCTATCCTTGGGCGCGCTGACTAGATAAACCTTCGCCCCGGGAGCAGTCTTTGTATATGAATCGTATAAACTCAGAAATTACCTCCCTCTCCACCAGACAGGAATCGAACACTCAACCTCAAGGTGGAGTTACCTCCTACCTTCGATCTGTTGGGTAAATAAAAAACGGAACGTACACCTGATATTATTTACACCTCTCTCTCTCTCTTTTTGTTGGCTCAGGATTACATTTTCAATAATATTCAGTGGGTCATATAAATGAAAATCCTATGATAAAGTTAGATTCTTAATCGCCCGAAAAAATGTTGGATTTACAGTCAAAATGAGATACAACAAGTAGACGAAAACGAAAGTATATATATATACAACAATTGAGAAATAAAGTTTCTCAAATCTTTTGTAACAATACATTTATCTCTATAGATTTAAATTTTCATTTATTTCAAAAAGTGTATGAGCTTTCGTCATAACTTGAAATGATTTCGAATCATGTCTCTATTAAATTGTAGATGTGGAGAATATATATATATAAAAATCTTTCAATGCGATGGGTGGGTGACCCTAGGGTGCCGAAGGGACAACCTGGTAATTGGACCATTAGGACCCACGTGGTCATTACCTATGCGGACCAATCAGATCTCGATCACGATTTTTTCACTTTATTTCTTTATAATTTTTAATTTTTAAGGTTTCCCAATGACCAAATCAAAGATCGTCGTCTGAGATTGAAAGTTGAAGCTCCAGGTGTCAATCATCGACAAATCATGTGTCATCCTGAAACTTTTTTTTCCTTTTTATTTATTTATTTTTCCATATATAATTACCACTTTAAAACCAATTCTACCCTTGTTCTGCTTCTTTTTTTTTCAGGTGATTCTCCAATAGATATATGATAATAATAATAATTAACACCCACTAAAAGATTGACATTATATTTTGATACAACCAAGAATAAGAGATAAGGTTTTTGTTCCTTTTTACGCGTAAAGCTCACATGATCTTTCGGCTCCAAATCATGCATGTTCCCCTTTTTATATTATTTTTAATTACATATATATATATATATATATATATATGTATGGGAGGTTCTTTGATTTATTAATTAATAATTGTGGTAAATGCAGAGGTCAAGTTGAAAACTGCGTTGGGATCTTTTATTGGAACTTGAAGACTGACGAGAGTTGTACTATTTGTTCCAAGGTTGTTTTGGCCATACGCTTTTTTAAACCTTTAATCTTACATTTATTAGTATCTAATTAATTACGACACAATTTTGTAACAATAAACAAGGCTCATATCAATTTATTATAATATTAACAAGATTTATGTCCTAATATGAACCCTTCTAATAAGGGGAAAAAACTAAAATCACTTATCACACATTTACATAACCGAGTTGTATTTTCGTTAACAAATACATCACTGAGTAGAAAGCTTAAGGTAATAATTAATTCATATTTATAATCCAAGATTAGTAAAGATTTCATTTGATTCAGAATCTCAAATTCAGATTAATAACTAATTCATATGCCGTGAGATATCAAATTCAGAATCTCATTGATGAATTCGGTTGGAAAACCAGGCGGTTAAGGGTTTGAAAAGGAGGGTCAACATCAGATTCAGGGTTGATATTATATAACTGTTACAAGGATCGTTGATTAATGTAAAAGATTAGGCACTTCTAATAATTTCCTTAACGTGAAAATTTATAGTTTTACATTTAAGCCCAAAAGCCCATTACAGTACTTTATCACATAATGGGCTTCTATCGAACAAGGTCATAAGAATTGAACCGAACATGGAAACTAAATATTATGTTTTCTATATTTATTTAATTATTTTACTTTTTAATCCTATTTTTAAAAAAAAATTAAATTTCAAATATAAATTATTAAGATCATTAAATTTTATATGATATATAATATTATTTTTTTATTCATATTGTATGCATGCCAAATAGAAGTAATATAATTATATAATGTATCTTTATATATGTTAGATTAATAAAAATGATTAGAATGGATATAATATCTCAATTCTGGATATTTATTGTCTCAAATAAAATACCTTGTATTCAATACATTTAAATATTTGTAATATATAAATATTGATTTTATTTATAATTTAATGTTTTTTAATAAAAAAATGTCTTTGTTATTTTTATTTATATTGTTTGACATTAGTTCTAATTACTTTTTATATCTAACTTTAAATCACATCTACATTTACAATTTAAATACCATTTCTTAAATAATATTTTGAGAAATTAATGATAATTGTTTGGTTCAAATAAAATTGTAATGATCATAGTAAGAAACATTTTTATATTTATTAATATTAAATGATCTTATGATATACTATGTAAACATGTATAAATTTTTAAATTGTTTCGGTACATAATTATGAAGATAAATAATATAACTATGTATCAAATAACAGAATATACCTTTTAAAGATGTCAAAATGAGTCGGGTTATACGAGTGGATCCAATCTCACCCACCTATAAACACAAATGGGTTAGTCTATTTGGTTTAATTTTTAAAATAGGTTTTGACCCATTAAACTCATATTAAATGGGTTTTGACCCATTATACCCGTGGGTTAAATGATTAACCCATTATATACTAAGTTAAAACTAAACTCATTTGATAACTAATTAAAATTGTTATATTTACATATATAAAAATTAACATATATAGATATTTATATATCTACATGTATATGAATTAAATCAAAATATTTGGTATCGTTTTCGAATCAATTCGTATCGAAAAATTCGGTTTTGTTTTTTAATTGAATCCTATCGAAAATTTGAATCGTATCGAAAAACTCGATATTGCTCCGAATCGAATCATACCGAAAAATTCGATGTCGCTTTCGCATCGAAACGTGCTGAAAAATTTGAATCGTATAAAAAATTAGATACCGTTTCGAATCAAATCGTACCGAAAATTTCGGTATCGTTTTCGAATCAAATCATGCCGAATTCAGTTTTGTTTCTGAATCAAATCGTATCGAAAAATTAGAATCTTATAAAAAAAAACTTGATATCGCTCATCGAATCATACCGAAAAATAGGGGTGGGCACTTCAGTTCGGGAATTTAGTACCGATCCGATCCGACCCAAACTGAACCGGATCGAACCGAACCGAATAACGTTCGGTTCTAATTTGGTACATTTTTTATGGAACCGAATGAACCGTTCCCGAACCGAACTGTATGAATACCGAACCAAAATCGAATATTCAACTAATATATGTATAAATATTATAGTTTGACACTTATTTGATATTCATATAATGGTACTGTTTCGAACCGAACCGATACTAAAATTGAACCGAACCGAACCGTTTAACATTCGGTTCTAGTTTG